TGTAAAGATTCTTCTCTCAATTTCAGCAACTTGAAAACCTAACTTCAACCCTTTCTTCTCTCTGTTCCTCCAAAACCTAACTTACCATATTTCTTTTTTTCAAAGAAATCAATGACCAATGCGTCCTTACAAAATATTACCTCCTTTTTATAATTTCGTCCTCGAAATTCACCTACAACAACCAGTGAAGCAACTAAAGTACTGAATACGCAACTGATCTTGACTTTCCCAAGTTGCCACTTTTACTGCTTAGTTTCTACACAAAGCCTTAACCAAAGGAATAACCTTATACAGCAGTACAAGTTTTTTCCTATCTAAACCTACATCGGTTCCTCATTAAAAGACATATTCTCATTTAATTTCACCGTTTGCAATTCAATAACATTTGCTATGTCCGAATCATACTTACGCGACATACAACATGAAACACGTCATGAATTCTAGAAAGCTTTACAAGCAATGGGAACTGATATACTATTGATTCAACATGCTCAAGAATCCCTTAGGGAACTATGAATCTTGTAATCAACTTTCCTCTAATACCTAAACTCGATGCATCCTTTTAAGATGTTTATCGAATAAAACTTTCTCATCCACCATAACTTCCATATTTTTCTAACACTTAACAACATACACCCTTGTCAATCCTTTGCCATTTCCAAAATTTCCTTACTTATCTCAACCTTTTCTATAGTAACTACACAAGTTCTTAACCCCATTAACTTTCTTTCTTCAAATTCATTCCAACAAATCAGAGTTCGACACTTCTCTCTTTATACCAACCTACCAATATTGTTTTTTTTTTCCTGCAATGCTATATACATCTGTGTGCTCTGTAACCAAAGCTTCATCATCTACCTATAAAGTCTGCTCATTGACCATTTTTTTTTTATTTTTTTACTTCTTTCTTCATCTTAATCAACGTTGCAAACCCAAGTTGGGCTTCTATTGTTCTATTTTTGAAAATAAATCTTATCTGGAACTGGGCCAATAAAACTCCCTAATATTATCTTAAATGGAACGACTCGTACCTCTAACCCGTTTCCAAAACAAAGGGTCTGCCCTCAGTGGGCTAACGGATCCATAAATTAAGAAAAACCTATTGTTCGTCCAAAACCAAAACAACGAATAATCTCAATAAATAATATCAATAGTCTACCCGAAACTGAAACAAAGTAATCCCTTTTACAACAACAATAGTAATAATAAATAACGGACAAAAGAAGACGAAGTCTAGTCTATGGCCAACAACCAATTCCCATACACCCCGACAATCGAATCACCCCTCAACTATCGTAGACTTGAGTGACGCAGCCTAGGTGGCCAAGTCGACCCATGCCATCACCATGGCTAAGGATTCGGTCTGCACGTACTACTACGCTCCTAAACTCGCGTCGACTCAACACCTCATTTAGATGTGGGTAACTTGGGTTAAGTTTGAGTGGGTGTAGATTTGCCTCAATTGGATTTTAAACGGTCAAGGGTAGATGCTCATGCTGCAAGGCAAGTTCTTGCAAGCGTTTTCGCAACGAAGAGAACACACCTACTGATATTGACGCGGCTGTGAGGCGTGTAGACGCTGCACCCGAGGTTGCCGACCTCCACGAACGTCAAACAATGATGCTTACCCCCAGAAAGCACCCCGCGTTGCTGCTACCGCGGCGAAACATCGCTGCTGCTACCACGCACCACGTCGCGTGCGTCGTTGTTGTTACCGGAGAAGGGGCCGTGCCGGTCGTCGGGTAGGAGAGCTCGTGGCTGGGCGACGAGAGGTAGAAGGAGCGTGGGCGGTGGCTCACGATTGGAGAAAGAATAGGTTGCTAGGGTTCCCTTCTCTTTTTTCTTGTTGTTCTTTCTTTTTTTTT